ACTATAGACAGATTTTTCACCAAAATTGACCCTGCAGCTAAGAGACAAAGAAGAGAGGAAACCCCTGAAAGAGATTTCCTCAGTGTCCTTATGGAGGGGGACTCTCCCTCAAAACAATCTCCCCTCCACCTAGGTTAGTGTTCTCCACTGTACTGTATAGTACTTTGTTACTTTGTTGTTCTTTGTCACTTTGTTTCATTTTTTTCTGATTAAAAAAAGTAGTTACAGAACGGATTAAGCTTATTTACATTGAACCTTATGGAGAAATTTGACTTTGCTCATGACCAAAAATTGGCTCACAGCCACATTCGGAGGGGCCAGAACGGATTAACCTTATTTACATTAAATCTTATGGGGAAATTTGAGTTGGGTCACAACCAATTTGGGTCACAAACAGAGTCGTGGAACAGATTAAGTTTGTGAGCCAAGGTACCACTGTAATCCGATACTATCACTTGAATACTGTGACTTGAAACAAATAAGATTGTTCAATCTTGGACTTGTGCTGGAGAGGTCTTGTTAAAGTTATACTGCTCACAAAAAACTTACATATTAACAAAGTTCATACTACTTGGCACTCTCTCCTATCCAATGATATTTATACAATGCTATTCAATTGTCTAATATTTCTTCAAGGTTTATCATAATATAGAGTGTTCATTCAAAGATCAGTTTGAATTTTTCCTTCTTGGACCTAGAAATCTAAGTTTAGATACAGTGTTCTTGCCAATGCTGTGTACAGTATGAATAAAGAAGTCATTATTTCTACTGGAATTGTAATGCATTGTACTTTAAAAAACAACAACAGATATTTGCAGTTAGTTGCAGTACTTAACCCATACTCAACTAGTGATTGGCAAAGCTTTTCAGAACTTTTTTCCATAATTTCTGTGTATGTTCTTATTTCAAAACAAAATGTTCATTACTAGCCCCCAGTTAGAAGATCTCACATACATACATACATACATACATACATACATGTTTAAGTGCCCCATTAATGATCCTGCATTACTTCTTCAGGTCAGCATGTTATTGAAGAATTTTATCAGTGTTTCCCTTCCTAGGGCTACTAATGAAATTGTTAAACAGAATGCACCCAAAGTCTCTGAGAAGAAAGGAAGGCAGTTGTTTCAACCTGAAGTTTGCATTTTGCCATAACCATTTGTCCCTATCTTTGCCTGCTTCCAGTAGTCTCTTCTTTCAAAGCAATATGGTTGTTATTCTACTAGATACCTTGGCTAATATTCATGAGAGCTTGAGTTGCTGTTAAATTCTCCCAAACCAGGCTCTGATAAGCTTCAGTTAGCCCTCAATGTTCTTATCTGAACTGAGCTTTTAAAGTCTCTGAACTCATCTCTGTCTCAAATCAAAATCCAAACATGAGGAAAATTCCTGGCTTCCTTCCATCCTTGTCTTCCTAGGCTCTTGGCACCAGCTCCTCACCTCTCCTTTCCTTCCCTAACTGGTAGCTTGCTGATCCCTTCTCTCTTCTTTCAGTCTCCTTGGAGTCCTGCTAAACAACCTTTCTAGGTGCAAAGCTCCAGCTAAGTCTCCTAAGGACAACAGTAGTTTGCCAGTTCCTTCCTTTTCTTTCTCCATGTGTTTTTGTTGCCACAGTTGCAGTATAACGGGAGTAGGGAATCCTTTCTGGTCTATGGACCAGATTGCACCATTGACTCGTAGTAGACTGGATATTACCAAGGGAATGAGACCTTGCTTCTGCACCCTTTCCCCCTGTCCTCATCAGCCTAGTCCTGTCCGTTTCTGCTCCAGCCTATCAATTTTGTTACTAAAAAGAGAGACATAGAGCATCCTACCTTTGTTTCCATTGAGTAAGGGGCTCAGCTAGCATTTGGAGAAGCATTTCATCCAACTGCTAGTCAAGTCAAGTGCTTGCTTTACATGGTGGATTGATGGGCATAGAGCATGACTTGCCCAGTGTTTGGAGCCATTCCTCAAAAGGTTTGCCCAAGTTGGATGCCTCTTTCATGTGTCACTTTGCATCCCAGTTGGGATGGTGTGTTGTCAGACTTGGAGCCCTTTCTCCAAGCAGCAGTTGAATTGTGCGCCTCCTTTGTGCATTATTTGCCATCCTAATTAGGGTGATGCATGAAGGAAAGGACTCAGCCAACACTGGGAAGAACTCCCACAAGCACCATCTAAGTGCCTTTCTGTGTGGAGAGAAGCACAGAACTCAGCGTCTTTCTTTCTGCACTAAGAAATGAAAAATGGTGGGGGCAAAGAGGAGTGTGGGACCAGGAAATCTGGTTCCTTCACAAACCAGATTTTGTGTATTCAGCATAGGAAAAGCCATGCTGGATCAGACTAAAGGTCCATCTAGTCCAGCATTTAATACAAATGGTGACAAACCAGCTGCTTACAAGCAGAATGGGAGCAAGACTTTCTCTTGCCCAAGCTCCTCAGCAAGTGTTGAATGCAGGCATGTCATCTTTGCTAAAGGAGGGGGTACATAGCCAACAAGGCTAATAGCCACTGATTCCTCCTTCCTCAAAAATCTATCCAGGATCCTTTTAAAGCTGTGGTGTGGTGGTCATCACCACTTTCCATGACAGTGAATTGCATAGTTCAGCTGTACGTTGTGTGAAAAAGTACTTTCTTTTATCAATCCAAAACCTCTCACCAGTCAACTTCATGAGATGTTGCTGGGTTCTAATGTTATGGGAGAAAAATGTCTTCCTCTTTTTTCTTCACTCCTTGTATTATTTTAAACACCTCTGTCGTGTCTCCTCTCACTTTTTTCTAAGTTAAACAGCCCTAGTTGTTGTAGCTGTTCCTCATAGGGGAGCCAATAATTGCTGTTGCCCTTCTCCAGTCTTTTCTCAACTCAATAATGTCCTTTTTCAGGTAAGGCAACCAGAACTGAGTAAAATATTCTAAGTTCAGTCATAGCAAAGATTTGTATAATGGAAAAAGATCTTGGCAGTTCTGTTTTCTATTTCATTCCTAATTATAACTAGAGTGTGGAGTTTGCTTTTTCACAGCAACTGTGCACTGGGCCAATATTTTCATCAAGTTGTCTACTGCCACCCCAAGATCCCTTTCTTGCTCAGTCACTGCTAGCTCAGATTCTACGAGCATATATTGAAGTTTTGCCCTAATGTGCATTACTTTACACTTGCTTACATTGAACTACATTTGCCATTTTGATGGTCATTCTCTTAGCTTGGAGAAACCCCTTTGGAGCTCCCTACAATCCTGTTTGGTTTTAACCATTCTAAAAAGTTTAGTGTCGTCAACAGACTTTGCCATTTCACTACTTACTCTTAATTCTAGATTTTTAATCAATAGATAGAGAAGCATTGGTCATGATATACAGCCCCATGGAACTCCCCTGGATACATCACTCCATTGGGAGAAATTGCCATTTATTCTCACCATTTGTTTGTTTTTTAACCTGTTAGTCATCCCCCCTTCCACTTTATTTCATGACCACATCATTTGCTCAGGAGCCTTTGGTAAGGGACTTTGTTAAAAAACCTTTTGGAAGTCCAGGTAAACAATGTCTACTGGATCACCCCTGACTGCATGCTTATTGAAATTCTTAAAGAACTCCAGTAGGTTAGTGAGACAAGACTTCTTGCCAGTCTAATTTTTTTTCAGCAGGGCTTGTCTGTCTATGTGCTTACTGAATCTTATCTTTCATAATGCTTTTAAGCAGTTTAGCCAGGCCTGTAATTTCCTGGATTCCCCTGGGATTCCTTTTTAAAAATTGGTGTTACATTAGCCATTTGTCCGTCTTCCGGTACAAGGACTGAACGTCTCCATCTCCGCTTTATGGTGGCGGGAGATTTTGATGCAGTAAGTAGTTGGCAGCAGCTCAGGACAGGGAACATTGATGGACAGATGGAGGGGTGGAATTTTTTGCTTGGATTGTCTTGGAAAATAATCCAAAAACTTCAGATTTGTTCGCCAGAAGAACTTGGATTATAACTGGGTTAATTACAAACAAATCTAAGAAATTTTGCCCATCTCTTGTCTTTTGAAAAAGAATAGAGGTATGCAAAAGTTTAGCACTGAGCCTTACAAATTGTTTTTAGATTTTTGTTTTGTACAGTCTTTTTCAAGGAAAGGCAACATTTGTAGGCCTGTGAGCCTGGGCACTATCCCAAAATGGCTGCCAGGAGAAGCCTAGCTATTTTCCATATAGTCCAAAGGTATGAAAAAGAAATATAGCTGTTGGAGGGTCTCACTTTCCTTTTTGGGATCCTGGCTGCCATAAGAAAATATTATTTTTTAAAAAAGTTTTAGGACACCTTGATGAATATCAGGAATGTCTTCAAAGGCATATTGATGCCTATGTGTTGCCTACCCCCAGTCTGTTGAAATAAATGGAGGGCTTCCCTTGCAGTTTTTGGTGTATTGTTCCATATGTTAGTAGTTTGACAAATAAGGAATGGAGGACTTATGGAAGAATTAAGTATTATATGTGAGAACCAGTGTGATACGTTGGTTGGAGTGTTGAACTGGAATTCGGGAGGTCCCGGTTCTCGTCCGCGTTCAGCCATGAAGCTCACTGGGTAACTTCGGGCCAGTCATGGACTCTCAGCTAACCCACTTTACAGAGTTCTTGTGAGGAGCAGAGGCGGATTATGTAAGATGCCTTAGGTTCCTTGAAGGAAAAAGGTGGGATATAAGCATAATAAATAATACACAGAGCATTGTAAGGAATGAGTGGAAATGTTCTATCCCTAAGGAGTTTTTACACTAAAAGTAAATGTAGAGGAAAGAATATGGAGGTGAGGTAAATTTACTAGAGGGGTTTTATTAGTACGATCTGTCTATGTTATGAAAAAATTGTATTCTACATAAAAAAATTAAGTCCTCATATTAAGATTTCTTCTGTCTGAAATTAAATCAGCTGTTGCTTGATTTTCTGATAAAAAAATTAAAATATGATTTAATTAACTTACAAGAGGATTCAATATTCTAGTACAATAATACTGGCAAAATATATAATACTTATATTTTTGCTTTTACAGGAGGAAGATATCAACTAGAAATAAAAATTCCAGAAACATATCCATTTAATCCTCCTAAGGTACTGTGAGCATAACTCTTGTAAATAATTCTCTGAATGGTAGTAGACATTTTGCTATGCAGTGTGCTTTATTCCCCAGATCTTTCTGGAAAAATAGACTGAGAATAGTCATTCCTAGTCACTTTCTGTCAGCAGTCCCTGGTCATTAAAGTGCTTTACTGACAATAAAGCCTTGATTGATTTTTAAAACTAACGGCTTTCAAAATAACATTTTTGTGAAGGGCTTCCTTTTTTCCACAATGTTGTCTGTTTAACAATCAATACAAGGATTGGATGTTACAATTGGATCAAATTCTGATTAAAATATTCAGTCTGAGTATAATAGTAGAGCTATTATATGTACTTGTTTAGGATATATTTTCATTGGAAATTGTAGAAGTGGGTTGTATTTGCTTAGATGTGCAATATGAATCCATGAAAATGTAGTCATAGAATTATAGTAATTACTAAGTAGGAAACAGCTGTGATTTTTCTGTGATACTGCTGTGAAGGAGTGAGTGACAAAGGAGAGCTCGGTTTTGCAGTCTTGTGACTGTTAGAGTTCTAATAGTGGCTCAGTCACTTAATATAGTATGTGTTCACCCCTCAGATAACCTGATTCATGTTTTACCCTAGTGTTCTTAAACAGCAGTCCAGGTGGTAAGCCACTCCTTTTAGAGAAGGGCTTGTATCTTGGTGGTAATGTACATGGTAGTATGTCCAAAATAAAATTCCCAGTTTCAATTTCAGACACCACCCTGTAGAACTAAGAAAGACTCTGTCTGAAACCCTGGAAATCCACTGCCAGTTTTATAGTCATTGATGGACCAGTGGTCTGACAACGGAACTTGATTTTTTGATAGCTCGTGAATTAACTTGATTTTTATTATGTGATAGCTCATGGGTTGTTGTGTTGTGTTGGTGATCCATGGGGAACATTCTTGTTTGGTGCCCTTATGTTATGTGAACCTAGTTAGCAGGACAGCTCTGAAATAACCAACGGTTGGTTTTAGGGTTGTTGGAAGGTTGTACAACACTTACCATCTGGGTTTGTACACCAGTGCAAAAATGCAGGCAAATTTATCTACAGTGTACTATCTGGACATGTGAACAGAGCCTATGTAAGGCAGCTTCCTATGTTCTTAGACCTATGCCTGGACTTCAGATTGAAAGTGGGAGCTCACTTATAGCAGGAAGAAACACCATTCTTATAAGTAGAAAAGCATCTCAGCAGGAAGGCTAGGTTAGAATCCTTGACTCAGGAATCCAGGTGTCAGTATATGGAATTGCCTGCCTGCCTGCCTGCCTGCCTGCCTGCCTTTATGGAGAGCATCTAGACATGTGAGCCACACCTACAGTCTGAAATGGTAGAGTCCAGGAAAGCCTAATCACCATATCTTGTTCATAAGAATTGTCCTGAGATGGCCCCTTCCTTCTGTTTATCAAACTTGAAACAAAACCTTTGAAACATATTTGAAACTTAATTGGTTATAGAACAGTATGAACTAAGTAGTCTTCTACTAAAGTTGAGGGAGAAACATTTAAAGAGTTATCTAAACTGAAACATTTCTTCTGTCTCTCTCTTTCAGTAAAGCTTCTGTCTACTCTCAGATGGCTCTTGCTTCTTGAGGGTTAGACAGTAGGAATGCTGGAGACCTTGTAATGGGGTTTCTCTCACCACTGTCTATGACTAGATCAAGGAGTTCTTGGTTGCATCTGCTCCACTCCTACCTTGAAAAGGCTTCCTCTCTTTCCAAGGCAGGCAAATTCTCATGGTCTGAGAAATTTCATTGAGTAGGCTTAAATCATTTGACTCTTCCCTCATTGCTGCTCTGCCTCCTCCTCAGAATTGGAGAATCTATCTGCAAATCTATCTGCACTGGGCAAATGATGGGCCCCTTTTTACAAGATCAGCCATGGTTCTTACATTAAATATTTAGAAGTGGAGTTGAATACTTAGAAGCTATTTTCACTTAAATTTTTTTTTACGTTCTAGGTGCGGTTTATCACCAAAATATGGCATCCTAATATAAGCTCAGTCACTGGAGCTATTTGTTTGGATATTCTAAAAGATCAATGGTAAGATTTTGCATATGTTTCTTGAAAATCCTCCACCTAGTTGGACAGCTATTGAGAGTAGCTATGAAGATTGTTGAACATGCACATTTGCCTGTTTTCAGCTTTTTTACTATAATTTCAATGAAAAATAAAGCTCTGATGTTAACGTCCACATAAGACTTACTGAATTAGTTAAACAGAATAACTTAACTAAGCCACTGAGGGAACAGTCCTATGCAAGTTAAGGTGGGAAAAGGGTTTTGCAACTCCTGCTATGCCTAAGGCATGGTAGGACTTGTAGGCTGTTACTCCATTTAAACTTGGGTAATATTGTGCCCTTAGTAATGCTAAACTATGTTTTAATAACTTAGAGTATTCTCTGCAACTTCCTAATTCATTAGCCATGATTTGACGTTACACTTGGACTGCAAAACTATTGTTAGTGCTAGCCTTCAAATCTTGGTTTTCAGGTCCATTTCAAAATGGTTTCAGGTTGTGATCTTGAGGTCAGTATTAACCTTAATGCACTAATTTGGATGGCAAACTACTGTTAGTGAATATGACATAGAAAAGTAGTACCCAAGATGGGGAGGAGGGAACATGTAAGAGTGCTTCCATTTATCAAATCACAATTTGGCATGAAGTCTAAACTGAGTTAGTTTTATTGAAAAACTTCGAATACTTGAGCTGTAATGTGGTTGTGTGCAAGAGTATTACACCATGGAGTAATAATGGTTATTTTAAGATGGTTGCTCTGAGTTTATTGCTTTTTAGATTTCAACAATTATGGATTCTCTGTTTTCATCCTTTGCATTGCTTTCAACAAATTACTTATATAAGTATGTAAGAGTAGTATAATGTTCAGTGTTATTTTTCCTTTTCCTTTGACCCTTGCTTCTTAATAAGAATAGTTTTTGAGGCTAGAGTATACATGTTAGATAAGAGTCTTATCTCAGTTTTATTTTGAATAGAAATAAGAGGCAGGGAAACAAAAGAAGACATAGGACACGTGCTTTCTGTTTTTCAGTATCTGTCTGACAAATGGTTTGTGGGAAGCATTCCACCAAATCATTATCCAATTGGTGATATTGGTTTGGTACACAAGCTGACTAAGTGCTAGTAGACAAATAGAGTAGCTGTAGATTTAGAACTTGTGCTTGGATTATATGACTTCAGATTGCGCATCAAGTTTACATTGTTGATGATTATTTTCATATAGGAAAAAAAAAGTTGCCAAAAGGAAGATTTTAACCTGCCATCTTTTATGGAGAGAATCTCCTCCTGCCCCTGTAATGAATTCTTCCTTATATGACCCCATCTGTAGTTTGAAGTGGTATAGGCTGAGGTTTAGCACCTCATTGAGAACTAGGCTATAGTTTCAACCTTAGTGTGAAAATATGCATTCTGTGTGTATTTAATTTTGCTTGTAAGAATTCATCTGAACACAGAGCATGCTGGCAAGTCCTGGCAGTTCAGACCTTGCTATATTGAATCAGCACATTCAGAATGGAACCTGCGCTTATGTACATTGAATGCTAGTAAAATCCAATGAGGAGATGGCAGGGACTGATAAGGCAGCATCTGTGATTGCGCAGAGTGTTCTACTTACAATTAGGCAAGTAAAGGTTCCATTCAGACCTTTCTGTTTCAAATCTGCAGTTTCTGAACTGAGGGGGGTGGTACCAGCACACCTTGAAATGTAGGAGGTGAGGCACACATAGCCATGAGGTTCTTCCCACTTTAAGGCCTCTTATGTTCAGGAGAATGCCTATTACAAATGTCTCCTATTGCACTCACAAGGCTGGATATAAATTAATTGCTGGTATTTTTTAACAAAATGCAATAAATAAAACACAGTTACATCTTTACTGAAATTATATTGGTATTCTGCATGCAATTTGTGAATTCTACTGTTTCTTCTAATTGTATATTCGAATTCCAACTTGTATTCTAGTGGATTCAAACTTGTATTTCAGGGCTGCAGCAATGACTCTAAGGACAGTATTGTTATCTTTGCAAGCACTCTTGGCAGCTGCAGAACCTGATGATCCACAAGATGCAGTAGTTGCAAATCAGGTACAATGTTTGCAGAAATTTTTCTATTCACAACACTTACCTCTATCCTTCTTTAGATGGCACTGACAGTTTCTAATTTGTGTGTGTATTTTAATTCATTAATAGCTGTAGGAAATAAACTAGTTTATAAACCCCTGTTCTTGGAGAACAGTCTAGAAAATGCACAGTTGAAATGCCTGAAAATGGCATTGACTCTATGGTACAGATCTGTTTTATAAACTGGGAGGTTTGAAGTATAGTTTAGTACTTCTTTATGGGAAGATTCTGAGTTTAAGGAAAGCAGATAGATACACACCCCTCAATTTGTAGCTAATACATTGTTAAAATATTCTTTAACTGATGTCCAAAAATGTTATCAAGGTAGGTAAAACTTCACAGCTGCAGATCTTGCTGACACATGCATTGAAAGTAAATTCCATTGAACTTAATAGGGCTTATTTTTGAGCAGACATAAGATTGTTTTATAAGTTGCTTAAAACTGACTCTGTGAATTTGTTATCAGTAACTCAGTATCAGTGACTGAGCACTCTTTGAGGCTGTGACATAGGAGCCAAATAAATATAAAGTTTTCTCCACTTTTTAGTGACCAGCACAGATTTATTTTATTTTTATTTCTTTATTTTTCGATTTATATCCTGCCTTTTTCCTACAAAGGGCTCGAGGCAGCTTACATCATTCTCCTCCATCTTACCCCACAACAACAACCCTGTGAGGTAGGTTGGGCTGAGAGTCTGTGACTGGCCCAAAGTCACCCAGTTTGGCTGAGCGGGGACTAGAACCCAGATCGTCTGAGTCCCAGTCCCATGCTCTTAACCACTACACCACACTGGAGGATTTCTTGAGGAGTAGAGAGGTCCCAATCTGAATCCCCATTGTGACATGCTAGATGGGTAGTCTAAACAAGTCCAGCTTGTTTTGATGGGTATGCAGATGCCCCTCTCCCAGTGAGCTGGTTATGAATGGCATGTATGAGTGTAAATGGGTGGATTGCACCCATTCTGAATTGTCAGTCTCCTGGACTTTCCAAGTTGGCAGTCTGGACCTTGAAAGGATAGCTATCATCTCATCAGTAAGAAAAGAAGTGTTAAACTGCCAGAAATTGGGAGCCTGGGCAAATTTAAGTTGCAGCTGCAAGCAAATTGGGACATTGTTTGAAAGTAACAGCAAATCAATCATACAAACATTTATTACACTTGGATTGCAAAACAATTGTTAGTGCTAGCCTTCAAACCAAGGTTTTCAGACCCATTTCAAAATAGTTTCAGATTGTTGTCTTGAGGTCATAACAAAATAAACAAAAACACACTCACTCTAACAAGCAGTTAAAATGTGCAGGTAAAGATGTAATATTTTATAAATAAAATAGAAATAAAGATGAAATAGTTCTCAGCAGAATACAAAATTCAGTCAATAAAACTGAGTTCAACCTTATATGTATAGGTCTTATCAATTTACTTCTTAGAAGCAGGCGATATGCCCACCCAGCTGTAAATATAAAATATCTGGCCCTGGCCACAATCAAATAATCATAAGCACTTTCAACCACTTTACTAAAATATTCATGAAATGTAAGCAGAATGCCATTTTTAGGTTCATAAACATGAATCATGACAATTACATTATCAGTAAATTTCCCAACCTAACTCAGAAGGTGACTGTCTGTTAAACTGAAATGTCACTTAGACATTAAAATACCAGCCCCTTGTTGAAGTACCCATTGGGTAGACTTCCTCAACCTAATCCCTTCCCAAAATTTTCATTTACTGCCATCAAATGACTATCTTGTAAAAAGGCTACATTGGCATTAAGTGGTTCACTCCAATGTAACTTGGAGTGAACTCTCTTCTGCTTTTTTTTTAAATTTTCATATATTTCAACTAAACAACACGTAAAAAGAAAAAAAAACACTGCTGCATAGATTTAAACAAATCAGTTTCAAATAGTATATGTGAATTGTATACACGTATACACTTCAACAAAAGCAAACAACAGAGCCACATGTATCCATTCAAACATGGGCTCTATATATTCACCTCTTCAAATGTTGAAAGTGTCATTAGGTATTATAGGATTACAGTAGCATTTCAGTACTGATCTTACAGTTGTCAAAAGCAAGCAGAGAATCCATTTATGCTGACCATGTGTTAACTACCAGGAAGCATGTAGGTCATTTAAGGGACATAGGCTTTGGTAAATTTTAGTGCTGCAGTACACAGTTTATCTGTATTATAGCTTCTTCCCCAAAGGAGGCATCTACTGGAGATTGCCAAAATACATGAATAAAGGAAACATTTGCTGTATTACACCTCCAGCACTTACCCAACTTAGACAAATCATTATTGAAGAAACATTGTGATGTGCAGTATGGAACAAAATATTTTCTTGAATGACATCTCAGATACATATGCTTAAGTGGCAACCAATTTATTAGGCAAAATAAGATAGTCCAGTCCTGATTCTGTTCCTATAGGACTGTGTTTATTGGGTTTCCACAAAACATTTTCTTACCATTTCTAAGTCTGGATTTCCCCACAGTGTCAATTTAGCATGGGCAAATGGTTTGGAATGTAATTGATATGTGCAATACATCTCAAACAGTTATAATGCTGGGAAGAACTTTATTAATTTTAGTATGCTGAAGATCTAATGCCATCTATTTGGAGAGAAAATCCAGACAGGAAGTTCACAAAACCGACCAAGGTGAAAAATCTTAAGTATAAAAGAGCAACATTTAGTACTGGTCAACAAATAGGCCTGATGTTTAAAAAAAAAAACAAAAAACCAACCAAGATCTCAAAAATCAAACCTACCTTCTTGCATACTTTTCAAGGATATTTGTGGTAGGTAGAATACTGCCAGAAAGTATGAGAGAGAACATTGTATGCCTGAAAATATTTTCGATATAAAGATAAAGGCCTTTCACATAGACAATCTGTGGTATAACATTCATCTATCCCTAACCTTACCTTAGAAACTTAACTTTAAAGATTCCTATTTATCTATATTCTGTGAATTTAGCTTGATCGCTTGAGATGTGTTAACTAAGTAATAAAGTCTGAGCACAATTGAAATTGGCAGTTTTCTAATAAACTATGAGCTATAGTATTTCCAGTCAGCATCATTTTAGAGTTAACCTATTACTTGAACAGTCAGTTAAATCATCAGATGTACTGAATCAACTGCATCAAAGATGAAATAGACAAATGGAATTTCAAGATCTTAAGATACTATCAGCATAAAGAATAATTTTAAATTCTAAACTAATCATGCAAAAAGCCATGTCTAACAAAACACATTCTGTCTCATAGCACAAGCCAAGGGTTCCAAATGTAAATCTGATATCATTGAAGAAAATGGACATCTCAGTCTGGTAGTAATCTTCAGCTGTGGGGCGGTATGGAAATAAAATGAATAACAAGAATTTCAACTGCTACTGCTCCCATAATATAAAAAAAATCTGAAAAAAGACCATTGGTCATAATTCTAGTCCTTGGGGTCAAATATAAAATGGTGATGCACTTCAAAACTTTTACAAGAAGGCCAAACTTTTATGCAATATAGCAAAAGTTAATTTCTATTGAATCTTGTCGAAGACCTTTGCAGCATCCAAGAAGCAATGGCAGCCAGGTCTGTTCTATCAGTATTTAAAGATTTGAAATCAGCAACTAATCTAAGATGATCGCTCATCTGTCTATATTTGATCAATCCCATCAGGTTTTGTTAAACCAGTGTTGTGAAAACTTGTTGCATTCTATTAGCCAGAACTGCAGAGTAGTTGGTAAAGTAATGCCTACTTTAATTAATGGGTTGGGTCAGTAGCTGGCACAGTGGTGCGGTCCTTGCCAGGCATTCCAATCACTGTAATATAAGCATCATTGAATGATGGAAGAAAGGAAGCTGGATTCAAAAATAGGGTTATTGCTGTGATAAAACTTTGAAACTAATGTATTTTAGACCACTCAGTTGGAAACCATCAAGACCAGTTGATTTTCCTGATTCATAATTGCCTTCATAATTTCCTCCATATGCAGAGATGCCAAAAGAAACTGCTGTTGTGAGGAATCTAAACATGATGGAAATGAAAAGCATCCAAAATTGTGTTGTGGTATTTCATCGTCTACATAAATCAGTATAAAACTAAAAATTGTGAGTTATATTTGTAAGAGGAGTGTATATTGTGTCCTCTTCATTTTTAATAGCTGAAATAACATTTCAATACATATACAATTTAAGATGATGTGCCAGAATCTTACTGGGATGTTTACCATTTTCCCAATACCTTTGCTCTAGACAGGTTAAAGCAAATTCTGCCTGCTATGAAAGAATATTACTAAATTCATATTTAATGTTCTGCAGGTGTTGATAAAGATGTGCAGTAGGGAAATGGCCAATTGCTTCTTATTCAAGATACTGTAGTATTAAAATAATCCTATAGGAAGTACAGAATAATTCAGTCCCGTATAAAAGGTTTACTGGCTTTCCACCCACTGGTACAGGAATCAACAGCACCTGTATACATTTTAAAATCAATAATTGTGCAGAAATCTGATTTCTAAACATCTCCTTATTTGAACTGGTAGGATAAAAGCAGCAGAGACTGTGGACCTTGGCAAATTTAAAAATTACAACTCCAAGCAGTCTGGGACATAATCTGAAACCATGAGTGTCTCAGTCTTCCAAACATTTATTTGATATAGCAAAGATGTAGAAACAAAATACTCTTAACTGAAAGAAGTTATGATGGACTGGTGAAATAATACTACCGTCTCTCACCAAGATCAACATTCTTGAAGCAACAATTGGAGGTCAGTCGTATGAGCCTGAAGTATGCCAAACTGAGTTCAGTCATATATATTTGAAGTGCAAATCTTACCACTGTTTTCCTCTTAGGAACAGGAATATGAGCACTGTATCAAAAATTTTATTACATTCTCAATTCATAAGCAAATAATCATAAGAGGTTACCAGTTTAGCTATTAAACTTAGGAAACATAACCAGAGAATCCTTATTAGACCCATGCACATTAATCATAGAAATTACCTTATCAGTCTATTTCTCAACCAGAATCAAAAGGCAGTCATTAGGATCAGTAATCATCTAACCTTGAACTGATAAGGTACCTTATGGATTAAATCACAACCTCTTGAAATGAATAGATCTTATCAATTCTCGATTTTTTCAATCTTTACCTACAGCCATCAAATTGGTTTCTTGTAAAAACATCTGTGTTACACTCTTTTAAAATAAAACAAATTCTTAAGTTAAAAAGCACTCTCTTTTGCTTATTTACATTCTGAAATGCCTTGATATTCATGAAATTACTTTGAACTTAAAGAAGGAAAAAATATACTGTTTGCCTTCTATGTATCACTACCACCATCATATTACATTTATATCCCACCCTTTTCCCTCTTGCTAGGACCCCAAGGTGGCTTATGTAGCTTCATTTTATCCTTATAACAGCAACCCTGTGAGGTAGGTGATTAAGAAATTTACAGAAATTGCCAATATTTAAATGGTGGAAGATATAAATCTTTACTTTGATATTCAGCTCATATACAGAAATTTCAGACATGTTTATTAAGCTAAACCTTATATAACCTTTAAAATAAAAGACTGAAAATAAAATTTAAAATAAATAAAAAACTCAATAATGCCAACATTTTCCCCATCCACGCTCCTAATATAGCAAAAATTGTATTAATGCAAAAAATCCTTTTTGTATTCTAGTTAAGACTGTAAAGTAATACCCCTACTTGTACAAGACAATCTCCCAGAAAAGTAGATCCTTTAAAAATATCTTTATCTGTTTATAAACATAAATATATTAAATGAATATAGCCTATATATATATTATATAAAGGTATGTAGCAATATATACACAAGATAATTTAAAGAAAAAGTAACAGAAAAAAACAGAAACAAAATGGAACATTGCCTAATGATCAGAACTGTTACCTACTTGAACAGGCTAAATGTTAGTAAACAACTGAATGCTGGTTAAAGGCCAAATACAACTTCTTAGATTGCTGCCACTCAAGGTAGACACAAGTAATTTTAATGGTTGTGAGAAATGACTCTGCCATTATCAGGAAACTACTTGATACAAAAAATTACAAGGTAATGGACATGATAGTGCAAATCAGTCACACTTGCAGAGATTCTCACCTTGTAAATTCTCTTTCCTGACCTAAACAGTTTGGTGTAATCTGGATGAAACATTTTTCTTTGGAAAGAGCTTCACCAAAGTTCCCCTCTCTATCTGGCTGTATGGAGCAAATATATTTCAGTTTGAAGCATGTAAAAACTGACCAGTAACAGGCCCTGGTTTGCACCATTGTGTGGAACCAGGAACATTCAGTATTAAGCTAAAAATCTGGTGGAAGTGCTGGTAACTCACTCAAAAACATTTCCATACATTTAACTAGCTGATGTAGTTTGTTGATGAAGTCCAAAAGCATGCTATGCATTGTGTTACAACTTACAAAACAACTGATTTAAGAAATAATGGAACTGGAAATAAAAATGTGCTTCATAGTACAACACCCCCCTCCAATAAAGTGAAAATAGTGTAATCTCCCTCCCCCCACCAAAAAAAAGAAGAAGAAAAGGAAGTCTGGCTTTCATTAACAGGCAAGACAATCTCTATAACCAGTCTACTTACAATTATTACATCCATATACTAATCTGGAAATAAATGGATATTTTAGAAGATACTTTAATTTGCTCATGCACGTACTACAATATTAAGTGTATATATAATAGGAAGTATATGAACATAAGTAGAAAAGGAAAAAAGACTGGAGCTAAGGAAAACATGCTTAAATGTCTGAAGTTGTATCTGTTTAGCATGAAAATCATCAAGCAGCCCAGGGCTGAGTAGGCCAAAGAAGCAGTTGAAAAACCTGTAATGCAAATGCCTGTAAGGAAAAGAATTGGCTTCTTTGGGTGATGGAAATGTCTTTAACTGGTCTTGATATGCAGCACAAAAGATTGCAGCACAGTGATTATGATATAAGTAGCCCCAGCTGTCTGGCTAAATACCTCATCTGTACCTCATCTAAAACAATGGCTTGATTTTTAGGTATGTCCTACATGAATACTAAGGCAATGTCAGGCAATGAAGATACTTCCTGAGAGAAACTGAGGCAGTTTGAATGCAAAACCTGCCCTTGAGCTTGAACAATTATATGAATTAATTTTTCTTTCTGTTTTTGGTATAGTACAAACAAAATCCAGAAATGTTTAAACAGACAGCTCGGCTTTGGGCACACGTGTATGCTGGAGCACCAGTTTCTAGTCCAGAATACACCAGAAAAATAGAAAACCTTTGTGCTATGGGCTTTGATAGGGTAAGTATTATTACAACAATAGCAAACTGAAACAAGTGCCATGCTGTGGGCTGCAATAGAACTTGGACTAAAACTTGCTTCCTTAAGAGCTTAATTTGCTTTCTTCCTCCCTACCCCCTTGCTTAGATTGACACCTTGGTTACAGTATCTTTGTCATAAGCTTCAGTATAACGGTGTTTTGCTACTTTGGAATTTAAAGAAAACCCATTTAATTTATAGTACTTTTCTAAGTAAAGAAATATCTGGATTAAATTTAGCATTGGACAAATGAATGTGTAAATTTTCCTTTAGTAAAATGCAGGAGTTGGAGTTGTGCAAACAACATGTGTACACTCTGACTTGAATAACTTTCTTTTTGTCTTTGCAGAATGCAGTAATAGTGGCCTTGTCATCAAAATCATGGGATGTAGAGACAGCAACAGAGCTACTTCTGAGTAACTGAGCCATGTGTAGAGAACTGCTTCTGTAGTCCAGCTTGCCCCTTCATGAGGAGCATCACCATCTTTTATTTTTAGGTTTCTATATAGATTCTCTTTTAAAACTGGCATTCTTGCCTGATACTATCTAGGCACTATTGGAGACTGAAAAAACTGCTCTGTAAATAAAGCTTAATTAAACGTCTGTGTAAATTTAAAAAGGGGAAAATACTTTAATTTTTTTCTTACTAAATATTGTAAATTCCTTGAGCTTGGCTAAAACAATGGGGATGACATGCCTACTTTAGTGTTAGCAGTGTGACCAAGACTAGCAGGAATTTGCACCAGGATTTTGACTTTTATGAATTATTTCAGAACACTTCTGATTGTGTCCGTAATCATCAGTTGTTGATGTCACTCATCCCAGCTACCTTACTTTTTTTAACATGGATCCTATGTGCCTGTGGACTGACCTTATATTTGCATGCTTGTACTTTACATAGACACTTTAAAAAGTAGGGGTAAACTGAACACAGCACCACCATCTGAAGCACTTGAGTATTCATCCTTGTAACTTTTTCCTAAGATTTTCCAAATATGCTCATAGATCAAAATGAGGCCCACTCAGAAACATTTTCACCACCTAAAAAGTAGCAATCCTGCATATATTCCTTGCTCCCGGCCCTCACTCAGCTCCTTACACAACAATTTCATGCTAGGCAGAATTGGTGGGTATGTGCCATTTGAATTAGCTTAGTTGTCCACTTCAAGTGGTTTATTTTGCATAACCAGTGAAAGTGTTTCAACCATTGTAATTTCTACACAATTGTATAAAGGTTTGGTATATCTGGACATAGCACAAACAAGTGGAGCTGCTCTTTTGTTTCTTATGCAGAAATCAAACCTCTTTCAATAAATTCTGGATAGAATGAATTCACTGAGAAGAACTGGTTCTCTGTTAACATTGAGAATGCCACCTCTTTTCCCTAGTATTTGCTGTGATGCAATCAGTTTTGGGGCAATAGCTTCCTAGTTTTCTTTTGGATATAATTTTAGTAGAGTTTGCTGATAAAGAATTTTACCAAGTCCTCTTGCGTGCATTTTTCCCTAGTTAACACTTGAAAGTCTTGTTCGGGTTTTTACTGTACATATGTTAAATGCCAGTAGACATTTCTTCTGGATTGATGTTTCTGCTAAAACAAATGTACATATAGTCAATATTTCTATTCATTCAGAGAGATCTAAAATCTCAGTCGTAAATTTTTATAAGTCCAAACGCGCGTACCTTTGTTGAAAGTTGTAATATTACAGAACTGAATAAGCAGGATATCTGAACAAATGGAAAGGATGTGAGGGTACATCCTTAGAAATAAAATTCTACAAAGTTATTCTTCCCCACTCCCCATTTTGTTGTTAGGAATGTTTCCATTAGTCAATTTTTAAACAGATAATGGACTTTATCACCACTTATACTACTGTTACATTGTGTAATTTAAACCTCTGATGCAAAGTGGAAAAGTAGAAGAAATGGGAATGACCTATCTAACGCAGGATTCTTTTCTACAATATGTCTAATTGTTGTTTGAAATTATTAGGACACAGGTAGAAAAATAAATTGTAGCTTCTATCCCTGCAATGTGGAACACTGATATCTCTTCACTCCTATTTATGCATTCAGTGATTGTGTGGTTTTATCTTGCAGTCATGTAAATCACTTTTGGATGCCAAAGGAAATAAGATTGTGGGGGGGGTCCTTTATTTATTTATTTTTACAAGCTGCTGCTTCTCAACAACATTTTTGAGAAATCATAGCCAGGGTCAACATAACCCTGGTCCATCTGCCATGTGTGTTTGTATTTTTTTAATGGTCTCTATTTTGACGAATTAATCTACATCATTGTTACCCTGGTGGTAATTTTGTAAACAGCTCAATAGATTACATTTTTTTTCTTTTCCTTGCAATTTATTAAAGAACTTGAAAGTGGCTAGATGGGATAAAATGTCTTCTGCTTTTCCATCTAGATAATCTTTCCAGGGAAGCTTTCTGTGATTGTGTCAAATGAGATTAGAAAGGCTTTGAACACAGGAGAAAAAGCTTATGCTAAACATACCTACAGGCTTGGTTTTGTTTTTTTGCTACATTACTCATTACAAAACTTCTTTGTGTGTGTGTGTGGGGGGGGCGTGATGAGAGAATTTACACGTGACTGTACAGGTGCTAGGTTTCTTTTCTTGGATATTTGTGTACTTGAGAGGTGAAAGTAAGAAAGTGCTACATTGAATAAGGATTATTAATTGAAACTGATGGCAGTTGGGTCTTTTGAGTCATTAGAAGTATGTGTATAGTGCTTGATAGATAATTGGGCTGAATAAGTTTAAATGCTGCTAGGAGGAATATAAATGCAGCATATCTTTGACTTGGAAATGCTAACTATTCAGTATATCTTCCATTTTCTTTTTATTACTCTAATAAAATAAATTGGTGAGCACCCTTATGTGGCCTGTGCATTCACAGTGAAGGAGTTGTTGCTCAATTCAGCTATTCAACATGATAGTCCACATAACGGAATCTGGTGATATCTTTCAGTTTTAAAGGCAATCTTGCATTGGGCAGGTGCTTGGACTACATTATCTCTGAAGTCCCAATTCTATGATAGAACAACATCCTATTGTTGAGAAAGCTGGAGAACTCATTCATTTTAAACAAATGATCAAGATTGAGATTGGATGCTCTCAGTAGATTTTGAGAAGAATTCTAGCCAGACCTTATACTGTGAAGATAGAATAGATCCTCTTTCCATTGTCAGAGGCCTCAAGAAATCCTCATAAGTGCTCAAAATAGTCCATCGCTTAATTTTGTTCCAGAAAGTCCCAATCATCCTTTTTTTCTCCATGTATCAACCTTCCATTAACGGTGTTAAGAAATGAAGTACTGATTAGTACAAAACATCTCATATCCCAGCTGACCTGTGTTACAGAATACATACCCTTCAGCAGCATTTAATCCCAGCTTTGATTATTGGAAAAATTTCAAAACTGTAATTAAGTTTTCTTGCTGGTATATTTGAGAATATCTGAGGTACTAAACTGCAGCTTTTTGTCTGAGAGGGAAAATGATAGGTTGAAAGGAACTTTGTCTTCAGATTAGTCAGATTGTTGCAATTTGAGTAAACTATATGAATCCAAGTTTATTAAATTGAAGAGATCTTGTGCACATTGTCTTTGGGGAAGAAAGCAGCATTAATTGCTTTCTAGCATCTTACTATTTAATGACTTGGGTTTAAAAGTTGAACATCTTCACAGCTTTTGCAGACAACAGTTCTTACAATGCAAAGTGGTTTTACAGTCACTGACTGAAGAAATAGTTTGATGGACCATAAATGGTTACACTTTTAAGGTGGCCAAATGCATGGTGACAGTGGAACCTGTCCTGTATTGGATTTTTTTTTCTGGCAGGGGAATAAAAGAGTGTTTCCTTAGCTCTGCAACTGCAATAGTCACAGTGGGAAGCACAAGGTAAAGAAATGTGAATAAGTTGAAACTGGCTGAGTAAGTCCTGGTTATGAAATGTGTTATTGGCATTGCAAAAATGCAGACCCTGGTCCACTGACTTGGCTTAAGCATGAGCACATTGAGGTCTGTGCTAGATAGCAGGTTTGTATTCCCCACTTTTAGAGACTGCCTCCTAATATGTCAGTCAGTCAGCAGTGAAAGCATGCTGTAATTAACTGGCTTACTCTTCAGTTTTGTGTACTGGAGCAGGAGAGGCTAGCTTGTGCTCTTCTAGCTATGTTTTGACCTACGGCTCCCATCCTTCACCAATAGTTAAGTCTGATGATACCTGGAAGGCCACAAATAGCTGGAAGACCACAAGTTGCTCATCCATGCATCCATGTTAGAGCTTCATGTTGAAGTGCCCTTTTTATTACGCTTTAATCAACTCTGAATCCATACTCAAAGGATGGAAAGTTGAATGCTACATATCTTGAACTATAATGCTGCTTAATGATTAATCATCTGCTCCTGGGGGTGAGGCTTTATCTAATTTGAAATGTAACCATTTCAAATATGCCATTAAGATCAAAAGTACTGTACGAGCTCAGAAAATTCGGTATATGCTGCTTTTCCTTTGTATCTAGATATGGCATCTATCAGAAAAGTGGTACTGTTAGAAGAACCTTATTGACAAGTTTGCTTTCCATCCCAGTGTTTTTGTTTCATTCTGACCAAGACAACTAAAGGTGCCATTTTGTGTAGGATTAGACAAATGCTTTCAACTCCCAGCATAATTGGCTGGAGCATGCAGGGAGTTATCATCTTTCTGTCTCAATCAGCTTCAGATTACACTTGAAGGATACTTGAAGGGAGTTCTCAACTGACCATTTCAAGTTGTAAGTAAATGAGTGGGCTGGAAAGCAATGCTGGTGTGTGTATCTCGAGATGAAAAACCACACTTTTGTATGGAATTTTTAAAAATAAATACACATTTTAAAAATGTTTATTTCCACTGCAAATGCTTAATAATAAATGCATGTTTCCCTGAAAAGTTTTTTTTTCTTATTTTCTGGTAATAAATCACTCCAGGAGATAATGCATCATAACCAAGTGTCATGTAATGATCTCATTACATGTTAGCAATGTGAGTTAACCACAATAATAAACCAGAAATGAGTAACTTTGATACAATGAGTTAGACGCAGGTATGTATGTGAACTTTCTGGTGAATTTGAAATTTCCTTACATTAAAAGGTGTTTTTGATGGAACCGATGGCTGAGTAATTGCTGGAGCAAAGTGAAGTCTTGTAGCATTTGGAAACTTTTGTTCCAACATTGCCTTTGCAACCATAAGCATGATGCTCATCCTTTCATCCACTAGAAGCATTTTATCATACCTTTCACATAGTGCAGTAAAATCCTTACCTTTTGGCACTACGATATACACGACCAAATTACTACAGCATCTGAAAGTTTATCCCAAGTTACTTTTTATACGCTTAGTGTCAAGGAAGGACCACTGCTTTTGGAAATTTGCAATCTCATATGACTTAGTTTAAATAGCATCATCAATGGTTTTCTCCTCAAACTTTCAAGTGATATTAATGTTGAATATTTTTGGTTGCTGTGAACAAGTTAGCTGAGGCAGAAATGGAAGTATTTCCAGAGCTCTTACTTGGACTGAATTCTTGTGTATATTTCTTTATTCTGCCATATAAATTCAAAAACCACTCAAAGCATAGGGCCATTTCTTTACATCCTGGTCACAACTATTAAGTGGAACTACTCTGCATGTGTCAGCAGAATCAACTAAAATATCCAAATTGGCAATGAATTCTTTATTACCTAGTATGCCAACCAAATAACATCTCTAGCTTTGTTAAGGCAGCTTGTCTTGTTTCTGTTTATTTCTCTCTACTGAAACTGTGTTTCGTATAAGGCTTAAGACAAAGCCATCTTATAACGGCTTTTTTGGGGTGGGGAAAACTATAGCTGTTTTCATCAGAATTTGAGGTGTACCTTGACACAACACCTAGCAAACAATAATTCAGTTTGCACTATTTTGCTTCAGACAGTGTAAACACAAACCTTTCAACCCCAGCATTGAAGGTGTTCTTCTCCCTGATCTCCGCTCCACATAGGCAGTCTGATAAATAAGTCTGGAGAACTTGAAAACTGCTTTTTATTTTGTGATACTCTGGTCAGTCCTAATATAGGCATCATCCAACTTTTTACCTATTTATTCTGCAGCTGCCCACAACTCCCTTCAATTAATTTGAAGGCATCATTTCCTAGGTCATTTCTTTCAGGAGTGACTGGTGGGTTACGATTACTTTAGTCACTTCAGGATGCATGGGAGTGATGGAACATGATAGGAGGAAATACCTAAATCATTGCACACAATATTAGTACAGTGGGAGACTAGATTTAACCAGCCCTATTCTAGACTGAAAATGATCCTGTTTATTTGGTATTTTATGTAGTAACAGGTAATCTGCCTTTCTCCCTGCCAATTTTTTTAATAAAGGAGAATGGGAGTTCTTTCTACCTGCTGCTGATTGAACAAACTAAGCTGGATCTGTGGTTGTGCCAGGAAATGAAAATGGGGACTATGCTGTAATAGCAATTTCCTATCATGAGCCTTATCTCTGCTTGTTCAAACACTGGAAGGTTCTCTCATGTTTACTATAAATTTTGACTTTGCCCTTCAATAATCTCTTAGAAGCCAAAACTAGGTATACATTTATTTGGCTAAAAATACTTTAAAAACCTATTTCTATAATACTAGTATAACACAATGGATGTCAAATGTATTGTGAGAAATTTGTTCATGCATGTGCACTTGTCCCCCTCAGACTAGTGGCCTGAGAAAGAACAAAATACTTAAGAATGAAAACTGTAGCAATTCATACCACCTCTAGGAGACAAAATGGCCTGGCCTGCATCTAATAACTGAGTTAAGCAATTCAGAGGTGAAGCCACATTTGTGTGAGCAAGCTAACCCTTGTGGCCTTGCTTCTGGTTTCCATGCAGAGTTATAAACACTCCAGGGGGTGTTCATGAGTTGTTAGGTACAAACTGGGAACTCTGCATTGTTGAGGCACAGAGTTTAAATCCATGGTTTATTGGGAGGCAAACGTTTCAATCTTCAACATTCCAGAGTTCTTTATGAAACCAGCTGGGAAACAGTGTTCTTGTGCAGCCACAACTGACGGATTAAACAACCCGTTACTTGCTGTTAAATGGCTATAAAGTCAATAGGTGGAATGGCTCAGAGACAAGGACCCAGGAACAGATGGAGAATAGACTACACTAGCATCCAAGATTTGCACTTTCTTCTGCAAATTTTGAAGCAGCTTTTATTCAAAGTAACAAGCATGTTCATTAGGCTGATCAGGTATTATCATCTACTTAATAATTGCAGTAGACTTTTGCCTAAAAGACAGTGAGTGTTCTTCCATAAAGGTGTATAACCTGTATATTTGGCTATCATGTTGAGGTCTTGCAAGCTGGACAGTACTGATTTTCAATAGCATAATTAACAATAACACTTTATAACCTGTCCTTTAATGTTTCACGTTAAATGGTTTTGACTTAGGATCACTAACTTCTCAGTCAGTCTTTAATTTGATTAGCTGAGACAATCCCAAATTTGTCTTGAGCTATTCAAATAATGTGAAGACATCAGGTTGTGTTTCTATACAGTTGCCCTTGTGTTGAAGACAAACTGTGACTTAGTATAGCTGGTATGATTAGAGATGCAAAACAACACCGTTTGTAAAACTTAACTGACGTGCATAGCACCAAAATTTTTAAGATGGAGTTCAAGTCTATTACATATTATTAACATTTGCATCTCTTTCCCCCCTCCCCACCACCTTTCTCCTTGTATGTCCACATTCAATTGTAAGCCTTCAGGCAGGGTCTTTTTTGCTTTTATTTCTTTAGTCACTGCCTAGAAAATGTTGTTAGTGTATAGATAGTAAGTACTTAA